ACTGAGGAATGATATTTTCAGCTCGCAATTAAAATAATTCTGTCTTATATTCGAGAGTTAAGAGACTTTTTATCTATTAGAAATTGCTCAAAAATGTCATCTTAGAAAATCTGAGAGCAGGTTCTAGCTTCCATTGAAATAAGTAGTTTCTTCTTACTCATTTTCCAGAGTGAGTGTAAGGTCTTTGACTCGTGGATATTTTGTTTTCCAGTGTTGTTTATGACCATTATGACTGATATTATTTCACTGTGTATGTGCTGTTATTTTCAAATTTGTGCATGATGGATTTTTTGTTGGCTTGCTTGTTTTAGATTTCAAATTACTTTTTGTGTGTGTGTGTACGTCAACAATAGCGTTGATATTATTCCCTTTTTTAATCTCATATAAGGAAATCTACATGCTATCAATTGAAAGTCTGGCAGAGGTAACAGCTCGGTGTATTGAGCAGCTTCATAAAGTAGCAGAATTAATTCTACATGGGCAAGAAGTTGAAAAAACAGCTCAAGATCAAGCAAAAGTACTGACAAAGTGAGTACTGTTAATTTCTTATATGAACATTTGCTTAAAAGTCAGGCAGTTATGCTGAATTTATGGCATTTGAAGGCTAAGTAAGTCCATGAGTTAACAAATAGCACTGGCTTTAGGATTTCTGTTGCTGTTAAGTCACTCAGGCTGCCTGCTATATTTTGGCATAGCTAACATCAGTATATTTAGAACACAACCTGAATATCTAGTCACAACCTGCAATTTGTTGTTGCTTCAGGAAGTAAACATAGGTGTTCATGTGGGATGCGTTTCCTGTGATCTCTGCAAAAGACACTGTGCCAACAAGTACAGAATTTACTTTCTTATCTGCCAGTAGAGTCTCATTTAGGTAATGTTTATATGCCATAAATATACAAGTCAATCAGGAATTCTAAACAATAAGAAACACATTTGTCAGCAACTTTGTACTAATGTACCACAGAACATATGTAGCTTTACAAGCCAGTCTTCCTGTTGGGTCTCAGAATTCAGATCAAAACATCTGTGTAATAATAGATTCTACTGATTTTGATGGGTTTGGGTTTTACCCACCTCCTAAGCATTTGTCCAGATGTTGTAAGCACTTGAATCCTAGGTAAAGTACTTAGGCAAGTGTTTACCTTTAGGAATGGTGGAACTTGGGCAAAGTCCAAAGCAAAACTTCTGTCTACAATAAAGCCCTTGAACAACGGCCTTGCAAAGTTAGAGACAAAGTATGCTGCACCCTACATGATCACACACTATGACGTGACGAACCTGTGATGGTCTAGTAAACAGTAAAAGATCTAAAAAATAGAATTAGACTTCCTTGTTCTCTTGTACACTGTGATATGTTCCCTTTTAGTGTAGAGTAGATATTTTCTATGCTTGGAGAGGAAACTTTTTACTATTCTCATTAAAGTCAGAGTTATTCTCAGTAGTATTTCTAGGGGTTGCTTTGTTGCAGTCATCAGAAAAAAAAAAAACAATAGTTGAACTAAAGGTTTAGAAATTTAAAATTTGAAATGTTGTCGTATCAAAAGAGAAAAGTGCCGGAGCTAGAATGGCTTCATTTTTTTGCTGTGGTCTGCACTGAATTTTTCAGGAGGGATATAAAGCTTCTTTCATGAGCAAAATCTACCGTAAGATACTTAAAAATAAATAGAAGCACAATTACCTCAAGAATATTCTTGGCTTTTAAGAAGTTTTTTGGTGCTTGGGACAGTTAATAGGCTTTATCTTTGAGCAGGGCAAGGATGTGTTTTTATACTTGTCTCTCTCTTTCAAACCAGCTTAACAAGTGCCATGTGCAATGAAGTTTCATCTTTATCAAAGAAGTTTTCTGATTCTCTAACAGCAGCTGGGGTAAGCCAACAGTGTTTTCTGTTGCATTTGGGGTTTTATAAATGTAGTTCCCTTCAAATGGAAATTATTACACAAATCCTCTGGCTTTACATGAGGTACTGGCAAAGAGGATACTTCTTTCTTCAGTTCAAGAACCCAGAGCATTTTATAGAATATTCCCTGCTGTAAAGGAAGTCTGTGAGCTTGGATAGACTCTGCAGTGCATCCCCTGCCTTCTGAAGTCTCTCTTTCAAATCCCTCATTTCCACTCAGCAGTCCTTATTTGCTCCCACTGAAAGGGGCCCACGTTGTCAAGAATAGTGGAAATCCCACTACCTGGGAACATCATCTTTTGCTGTTCAGCCTATCCTTTTAGAATCCATTTGTATAAAAGTCGTCAATAACGCTTTGAATATTTTAAGATGGTTTCACCAGCTGTCATCTTAGCCTTTGCTATATGCCCTAGGCTGGATCCATTGGATTTGTGAAGGATTTAAGAGATTAAAAAATCTATGTTTGGTCTTCTGTCTCAAACATCACTGTCTTTTATCTCAAGGTATTCAGCTTGGGAAGATCTCTTAGTATGTGATCTTTCTTGCTAAAGACAAAATTTCTTTCCCACACATCGATAGGATACTGACAGGGTGACAGATGGGGAGACTTCATGAAGGGCAGCAGTGGCCCTGTTGTGCTCTGCTGCTCAAAATGTTTCAAAAACAACTGACATCTGAGCACTCCAGTGTGATTCAGAGGCAAAAAACTGTGTCGTTACTGAAGTTGTTCTGTAAATGTCAGAGAAGATCTAGCTCTATCTTTCCTAATTACCCCAGGAGAAGGTGAATGCATTAAAGGAAGTTTCCCTTGTTCTCCCATGAGCTCTTGCAGCACATCTCTGAAAAGCATTTTCAGAGTTATTTGTAGGAGAGCATGATTTACTGAATTGCTTTTATTCTGAATAATTTACATTCCTTCCAATTACTCTGGAAGAATCTGCTTATTTTGCATTTTGGGGATGTTTTTTAGTATATCTTTTTTTTGACACTTACAATAAGTAGATATACAGACACATAAAAATATATAGCCCATGAAATACTAAACTGCCCTGACTCAGAAAATTGGAAATTAAAGCTCTCCTGAGTGTTAAACTAGGTTTTTAGGTCCAGATTGTTTTCATGGATGCCTGTGAGCACACATGAGGAATTGAGCAGAAAGGCACTTCTCATTGCCAACATATATACTTCAACTTATAAGTATGCAACATATGCGACATATATACAACTTCTATACAGAAGGCATTGTTAGTTGGCCTTTCTGGATAGCTTTTAAGGGTTGTCCCCTCCATGCAAGTTTTTGGAGGAAGATGTGAGCCTCCTACTCACCATGATCAGTCAGAAAAGCAGGGAGCAGCCATCACACGACTGTACTAATTCCACATCTTCTTGCATGTCTCTGTGGCTCAACTTCCTCCTTAAACTGCCCGCAGCACTTGGATTCACAGGGACGTGCCAGCAGCCTGCAGTGTGCATTGAAGCTGAGAAATGGGTTAGAATGTTAAATACTTTTTTTTTTTTTCCTCAAAGACAGTGCCATCACTATATCTTTATCTATACGGTTCAGATGTTTAGTTGTGGTGATGACTGTGCTCATGTTTTATAATGTTGGCCATGTTTCTGAGGGTAAGCAGTGATGGAGGGGCAAGAAATAACAGCTTTGCTTGCTATGCAAGTTTTCTTTCGAATTTTAACTTGTCATTGATTTGTGCAATCAATGTGTGCACTTAATTGATACTGCTTTCTTTATGTTTCAGTTTATTGACAATCAACTAAACAGTGCACTGTGTAATGGATTTCCTAGTAACTGGCAGTAAAATGTTCTTTTTTCTAACCATCTTCCTTTTGTTTCTCCACCTTCCTCCAACTGCCTTGTCCTCTTTTGTTTCTAGAGTTTTAGAAATTATGTTTATTTTATCATACCTCACCTTAGTATCATTTCTGAGATGCTAATTAAATTTAATCTATAGTTAAGTTTTTTCATGTTTCTTTGAATCTGTAATATAAAAGTAATAGGATGGTTTTGGTAAAATTAATTGGTATTGCATTTGCTTTAGTCTAACATTTCACTGTTCAATATTGGAAAAAGCAACTTTTTGTGGGCATTATTATCATTGTCAATAAGGACAATGCAAAAAACGGTAAGAAGGAAAATAGGCAAAAGTCTTTGCCATTTTAAAAAGCAGAAGAACCCACGAAGCTTGGTTTGGTTCATTGGGTCTCAACTGGTTTTTGTAGCCCCTGATAACTTCACTATTTATTATACCCACTTCTATTCCTATCTAGTGGTTGGGAAAAATGCTGTGTGCTGGGCCAGTTCCACACTGGCCAGTTTGTGCTCTCCAGCTCAACATACGTTGCTGCCAGTCCAAGGATCCGAGTTTCATCTGTGTTTTTCCTCAGTAGGGGAACTAAGCTGGGCATTTCACTTGCACCTAGCCACTGATTTTCTTGAAACTTTTAAGGAGTTAATTATCTTTCTGACCTCTATTTCTCCATCTTGATTCCTTGAAATGAGGCAGCAAACTAAAAAATTATTAGGAGAGATGAAAAGAGACTAATAGACAAATGGATAGATGAATATAAATCTCTCATCCATAGGAAATCAGGCAATTTGAAACTCTGTGAGTCTTGAGTTAATCAAAAGATTAAACCATGGGCCCATCTTAGTTCTTCATACACAGTAAGAGAAATACTACTGAAGTGTTTATGAAACATGGTGTCAGTTATCAGGAATACTACAATAAATAGTCTGAATAACAATCAAGCTAAAAGACCTTTCTAGAATTCATAAAACCACTACTCCAATCCTAGTATATTCCTGTTAAATGTATTTCTTGTCCTGTCATTTCCTTCTGTTTTCTGATTTACAGAGCAGTATGAAGGCAGAGGTTCTTAACCCCATTGTCAACTCCGTGATATTAGAGGTAAGCCTTCACCCTTGTCACATTACCGAATGCTCTAGTAAGATGAAATGAAACAGTTTCCTTTTTTTCTACAAAAAAGAACTGCATAGAAAGTAATAGCGGTATCCTTCTGGCAGTTCAGTGCCGCCTCATAAACCTCACTTTTGTGTTCAGCATCTCCCACAAATATCACTGTAATAATATTACATTTTCTGAGGATTCTTAAGAATGATCTATCTGAAGTGGACCTGGTTAGATTTTAAAGTTCTGCTGCTGTCTGTCAGAGCAGAGTAGACAACTTGCAGGATGCTGCTTATTTAATAGCTTAACCTCTTTTAAACCCATTCACAAGATGCCTGGGATAAGCCTATCCTTACTGCTCTGTTTTCTATTTCTGCTCTTGCAAAATGATTTTTACTGACAAATATTT